ATGTTGTGCGCAAGAATGATAACTCTTCCCTATACAATTTTTGAGTTATTGCCCTTTGTTTTTTTTTATGCTATTTTGTCCAGAGCTTATCTCAAAAAGTATTTGAGGTATCAACTTGAAACTTCAAAGGTGGATGGATCTCATTGAGGAGGAGTGCAGTGCTTAAGAATGATAACTCTACCCTGCATTATTTTTGAGTTATTGCCCTTTGTTATTTTTCAAATAAAAAAATTAATTTTTGTCCAGAGCATAACTCAAAAAGCCTTTGAGATATCAAAAAATGAAATTTTTCATAGGTGCATAGATCTCACTCAGGAGGTGTGTATTGCACAAGAATGATAACTCTACCTTTTATAATTTTTGAGTTTATTGCCCTTTGGGTTCGATTTTAGCCAATACTCTTAAAATATTAAAAAAATATTAATTCTAATATAATTGTAATCAGCAACAACTGGAATTGTAAATTTTTCAATTTTCATTTTCACATATTTTCGCGATGCCGATTTTGTTAATTAAAAACATCAACAAAAGGGAAGCTTTGTTTTGTTCAAAGGTGTGTAGTCACAATTTATATGCTGTTTATGAACTTAGATAACTTCAATAATGTTTATATTAATTGAGATTGAGATATATGCCAGTATGTGTTGGTCACAATTAATTTTACCTAAGGGGGGGTGGGGGGCAGTGATGAAGTGAATCTTGAAGAAAACAGCATAATTGTCTGATGTATGATTTTGGAATTATCCTTAAATTTCATATAAATATTGTACAAATTTAAGTACCCCCTGAATTTTTATTTTACCCCCAGTTTTCAAAGGTAAGGGGTAAAAATACTCCCAATGAAAAATAGAAGTGGGAACACTGTCTACCCTGCATTATTTTTGAGTTATTGCCCTTTGTTATTTTTCAAAATTGATTTTTGTCCAGAGCATAACTCCAAAAGCCTATGAGATATTAACATGAAACTTCATAGGTGCATAGATCTCACTCAGGAGGTGTGCAGTGCACAAGAATGATAACTCTACCTTTCATAATTTTTGAGTTATTGCCCTTTGTTATTTTTCATACCTAATTTTTCACCTGAGTGGAGCATAACTCAAAAAGTGTTTGAGATATCAACATGAAATGTCATAGGTGGATAGATCTTATTGAGGAGGAATGTTGTGCGCAAGAATGATAACTCTTCCCTATACAATTTTTGAGTTATTGCCCTTTGTTTTTTTTATGCTATTTTGTCCAGAGCTTATCTCAAAAAGTATTTGAGGTATCAACTTGAAACTTCAAAGGTGGATGGATCTCATTGAGGAGGAGTGCAGTGCTTAAGAATGATAACTCTACCCTGCATTATTTTTGAGTTATTGCCCTTTGTTATTTTTCAAAATTAATTTTTGTCCAGTGCATAACTCAAAAAGCCTTTGAGATATCAAAATGAAACTTCATAGGTGCATAGATCTCACTCAGGAGGTGTGTATTGCACAAGAATGATAACTCTACCTTTTATAATTTTTGAGTTATTGCCCTTTGTTCTTTTTCATACTTAATTTTTCAATTCAATTTTTTTCTCAAAAAGTATTTGAGGTGGATAGATTTTACTGAGGAGGGATGCAGCACACAAGAATGATAACCTACCCTGCATTATTTTTCAGTAATTGCCCTTTGTTATTTTCAGCCATCAGTATTCACATAGGTTTCAAATCTGTAATCACTATAGCCATCAGTTTTCATTACCAAAAGACCTCTGAAAATGGAATTATTCCGCTCTACTACATATACATTCTTCCAATGAGCAAACACATTCGGCGGGGGATGGCCATGTTGAAATGGCTCTTGTTTTTCATAATTATGCCCCTTTTTTTGCTTAAAAATTCTTGGTAAAGTGTTTGCTTGTAAGCTGGTATCTCCATAACTTCTGAAGGGGTTTTGCCTTTTTTGGGACTATGTTATGCATTCATACTAATAAAGCATTGATTTACTCAATAAACATCTAAATAACAAGCCTTTGTACCTTTTCGGACAATTTTATGTATTCATTTAGGTAAGCATTGTGAAAAGCCAGGCGTTGTTGTCCTCCAACAGTTCTTGTTTAATCAATTGTCATCAAACTTGGTCTGGATGCTTGTCTAAGTAATTGCTCGGATGAGTTTGATGGGTCAGGTGAGCGGTCTAGGGCCCTCTTGTTTATATATGTTTTCCCTTTTCTTCTTTGTTCCTGTACATGGTACATACTTTAAGCTTAAGATAATTGTTATTTTTCATCACTTATATCATGTTAGTCAATGTTCATAAGCGTGGCATCTTATTTCAAAAGAGTTATCTCCTCTTTAGTTTAAGAATTTTGCTTTTAAAAATGTTATATTCTGGTTACAACCAGGGATGTTAGAGGCGACAGAGTGCTTAGTAGTGGCGACACAGAGCATCACTTCTTTGTTGTACTTTTGTCCGTCTGTCTGTCCACCTCTAAAGTTGTGCAGACTACTCCTAAAAACTACTGGTGTCATTTCATCAATTGGCCCTTTAATTATTTAGAAGTTTCAAAGTTTAGCCTAAACCAATTCTCTTATGTATAATACTTATGTAATTTGAGTGAAACTTTAAAGGATTGGTCGATACCTAAAGTACTTGCGCATATTTAAAAGGTTTTCTGGTGAATGATTTTTGGCGGAGTTATGGCCCTTTTAGTTAAATAAAAAAAGCATTTTTGCCATTTTATTTTTTATATGCCCGAAAGAATTTCGCCAGGGGGTATAACATAATATGCCTGAAAGAATTTCGGGCATATTATGTTATACCCCCTGGCGTCCGTCTGTCCGTCGGTTAGCAATTTGGTTTCCAAACTTCATAGGATGATTGCCCATATTGGGTAGAAGACCCCTATTGATTTTGGGGTCACAAGGTCAAAGGTCAAGGTCACTATTACCGTTAAACTGAAAATGGTTTCCGGAGCATAACTTAAGTACCATTTGGCCCACAGTTTTCAAACTTCATAGGATGATTGTCCATATTTGCTAGAAGACCCCTATTGATTTTGGGGTCACAAGGTCAAAGGTCAAGGTCACTATTATTTGAATACTGAAAATGGTTTCCTGAGCATAACTTAAGTTCCATTTGGCCCACTGTATTCAAACTTCATAGGATGATTGTCCATATTGGGTAGAAGACCCCTATTGATTTTGGGGTCACAAGGTCAAAGGTCAAGGTCACTATTATTTGAATACTGAAAATGGTTTCCGGAGCATAACTTAAGTTCCATTTGGCCCACAGTTTTCAAACTTCATAGGATGATTGTCCATATTGGGTAGAAGACCACTATTGATTTTGGGGTCATAAAGTCAAAGGTCAAGGTCACTATTACTGTAAAACTGATAACAGTTTCCGTAGCATAACTTAAGTTCCATTTGGCCCACAGTATTCAATTTTCATAGGATGATTGCCCATATTGGGTAGAAGACCGCTATTGATTTTGGGGTCACGAGGTCAAAGGTCATGGTCACTATTAGCTTAATACTGAAAATGGTTTCTAGAGCATAACTTAAGTTCCATTTGACCCACAGTATTCAAACTTCATAGGAGGATTGTCCATATTGGGTAGAAGACCCCTATTGATTTTGGGATCACAAGGTCAAAGATCAAGGTTACTATCACCTTTAAACTGGAAACAGTTTTTGCTCAATAACCATAGCATATATCAATCTACGGCTGTAAAATTTTTATAGGATTAAAAGCTTTATACCCCTGTGTCCATTGTAGCATTTTTACTTACAAGATAACAACTTGATGGTGGTGCTTTGAAAACAGCAACTGTATATATACATGAATGTTCTTCAGCTATAAAGGAGGATTGATTTTTGAAGGAGGTAATACTGTATTTAATTCCCATGTCTTACAAATGCTTCATCCTTACTAAAAGAAAAAGTACTTTTGGGCATATAATGCTCCGCCTAGCGGTGCTCTTGTTTTGTCTTGGTACACAATAACTGCAACTTGCTACAGAGTAGCCGCGATATATAGGGAACAAACTGTCTTACCACCTCTCAATACAACTGCTGAATTGGCTATTATCAGGCAAGACCTGTGATCATTGTTTGCTTTTTGTCTTTTTAGGAAGCACTTCCTGATATCCTGTTAGCAGATCCAAAATGGATGGAAGAGTAGATAATATTTGGTATGAAGTAGTCATTCCTAAAGGTACCAGAAAAGAGAGTGTCTTACAGGTATTAAAGTTATTTTCAGAAAAAGCAAAGGATAACAGGATAGTAGTCAATTTAAGTAGCAAGAAATTTTTCTTCAAATTTTCTAAAAGAATTTTGGAAGAAGATTTGGTAAGTATCTGTCCAGAAGAAGACTTTGAAAAGACATGTCTGAATGGCAGGAGACCAAAAATAGACTATGACAGTTTAAAAACGAAAGACTTTGATGCACTTTTCACAGATCTGGCAGCTGTCAAAAATTATCAAAGAAATAAAGTAAAATGCCACAAAAAATGTGATAAATCAGTGCAAAGTAAGACAAGAAAAGATGTTAAAGTTAGATTGTCCCAAAACATAGTGCCTTCCTCTTGCACTCATGTAACAGTGGCCAACAAATCAGATATAGAATCAGAAGAAAAAGAAAGACAAGAACCAGAAATTGAGAAGTTATCATCTGAGAAAACTTTTGAAATTTTGAAGTCGAGTAAAGTTGATCAATCTGATGTTACTATAATATATGAAGTAAGTTCAACACTTGATCAAGAAGACATACCAAGCCAAAATATACCAACACAGACACATGCAATAGAATCAAGAAAAAAGTTTTCAGAAACTTCCAAAAATAATAATGAACAGAAACAGGAAAGAAACAGACAGTGGAGCAAGCTTCACACCAAGTATCGGATGAAAAGGAGAGAAGCTTACTGGAAGAGGAAGAAATTAAGAATCAGAAAGGTTTGCAAGTTGGGCATTAAGAAACAATGGAAAAAGAGAAAGAAAAGACAATCTGGTCGGTTCAAAAGGAAACTGAAAGCTGAAAGTCCTGAAAAGAAAACAAAATGGAAAAAGAAAGCTGCAAAAGAGTTGGCTTTGGATACTAAACGATTATCTAAAGCAAAAATACATCACTGATGACAATACATTATTAGACAGATATGATAAGTATTGCAAAGAAACAAGCTGGCTATTAAGAGATTTGACAGCCCTGTTACATCATGAAAGGTCATGGAGAGTATCTGGTTACGTATATCCAACTAGACGGAAAAATAAGGGAAACAGACGAAATCAACATGGTCGTGCTTCCAGCTCTCAAGCTGCTGAGAGTGCACAGAACCAGCCTCCTATACAAGTATCTGATGCTAGTAATAGAGACTTAGATCTTCCACCTGGACAACTGGTGGTGACCTCATCAAGGTCAACATTTAATGCATTCGCCAACAACTTATCATCTCCTACTCCCAGCTCAACTGTATCTATAGATTCAGAGAGGACATTGAGAACGAGACTACGTCGCGAGTTACCAGATAGTCGTTTCAGCAGAGCGCAGCAGCGACCAAAACACCCTGAGTACTCGGATCAACCAGCTCGACAGCGGTCTTTCACTAACTGGCCAGCAACAACAGGGCAGGATCCTGCAAGAATGGCTATCTATGGATTCTTTTACACAGGTAGTGTAACAATTTTTTTTTCTTCTCATTTTGTTATATGCCATTGTGGCTTTTGGCAAAGAGATTGCATTTTTTCTTAAGACATTGTTTAAAATTATAGAATAAAGTACAAAGAAGTACAGTGTATCTATAGCAGTATATGTCATAAAAAGGTCTATAACACTGCTAGAAAGGTGGCTTTGCATTTGCTACCAATAAAAAAATGATTTACAATGATAACTTGTATAATAATAATTCTTTTGCTGCTAGTACAATGTACATTCATGACCTGATGGTATACATACTTCTGTGTGTGATATTGTAGGGAGGTTGGACCTGATAAGGTGTTTCCAGTGTGGTATTGGTCTTAAGGACTGGGCGGGTGCGGACGAACCTCTGTTTGAACACATAAAACATTCTCCAGATTGTAGCTTCCTAAAAGATCTTCTCGGACAAGATTTGTTTATTGCATATAGAGTAAGTCTTTATACATACATTGTATATCACTATTCCTTACATAAACAGAGTAACATAGTACTTATGAAAAGGCTCATTTTCTCATGCTTCTGAAACAGATCTTGATTGAATAATCTGTACTTTCTGAAACAGATTTTGGTTGAATAAACTGTACTTTCTGAAACAGATCTTGACTGCACAATCTATACTTTCTGAACAGATCTTGACTGAACAATCTATACTTTCTGAAACAGTTCTTGACTGAACAATATGAATTTTCTGAAAAAGCTCTTGACTGAATAATCTGAACTTTCTGAAACAGCTCTTGACTGACCAATCTGTACTTTCTGAAACAGATCTTGACTGAACAATCTGTACTTTCTGAAACAGCTCTTGACTGAATAATCTGAACTTTCTGAAAAAGCTCTTGACTGACCAATCTATACTTTCTGAAACAGCTCTTGACTGAACAATCTGAACTTTCTGAAACAGCTCTTGACTGACCAATCTGTGCTTTCTGAAATAGATCTTGATTGAACAATCTGAATAATCTGAAATAGATCTTGATTTAACAAATCTGTACTTTCTGAAAAAATTCTTCACCGAACAATCTGTACTTAATGTATTTTGTATGACTAATGTTTTACTTTTTAGATATCAAACATGTACATGTATTTTACTATTGCTAAGGCAGTCATATTTGAATTTGGCAAATAATATTACAGTGGCAAAAACTACCATGCAATTAATTTTATTCATTTTTCCCTGTATGAACTCTATAAATAGGTATGATTATTTTAATTCATTAAGCTAGCTTGCATAGAAGTCATAATGTTTTATCTACACACATTTCATTTCAATACAAAGGCAGCAATTGTAATGTTTGAGTAACTAAAATACTTTATTCATGTCTTAATTAAAAATTGGTATTATTAACCCGTTTTTGCAACTAAGATTTCCATCTGAATTTGTACAAGTACCTATAGATTCAAACTACTGGCATGTGTGTATATGTACTCTTATTAGCCATTTGTTAAGCACCCAAGGCCAAGTGGTTAAGGTCATTGACTTCAAAACACTTGCCCCTCATCCCATGAGTTCAAATTTGTTTATGTGAGAAAGCTATCCCGCCAGCTGATAGAACTTCCATGGTTTAACTCGGTTGCCAATTAGTGCATGAAATAATGAATGGAAGGTTACCTGAAGTCTTCGTTCACCAGTAAAGCTGGAAAGTCACCATATGACATTTACAGTTGGTGCCATGTAAAAGCTTAAAAAAAGCTTATTAGCAATACAAAGGTTATGAGTCAAGCAAGTTTCATATCCTTGGCAATCTGGTTAAAATCGGCTTTTATATTTTGCTATAGGAAGTAGATCTATATAAATACCTCAGTAACCCAGGCTATTTACCATATACCAGTATCCAATGTAGTATACTCCGAATGTGTACTGTGGGTTCAGACGATATATATTAAGTCAGATTGACATTGACATCCTTTTTGCTTTATTAAACTAATCTTTTATGTCTGAACTTTAAAATAGTAGGCGGAATTAACTTTTTTGGGGAAGTTTTTTACTTCTAAACTTAACCAAATAGCAAATAACTTGGCACTTACACTTGTATTATCGTCTAACACCATGAAATATTTCTATTCAACCCATTAGTATTATTGACCTTATATACTTGTATATGAAACAGGACTAGATATAGTCCAATACGCAAACAATGATGAAATACACAAAAAGCTATTCAAAACTTCCTTGTCATGATTTGAACGAAGTATAAGTTTAACTTGATTTGACGGAAGTATTGAATAGTTTGTTTTGTGTGTTACATATGTCAATGAGGTAAAAGGAAAACTTTAAGTAATTATGCAGCTTGACATATGAGATACCTTTTGTGAAAATATGTGCAAGGTTTCCTCTTTAAACCAGAAAAGTTATGCACTGCCAAATAACCATTATTATTTTTCATGGTCATCAATAAAATTCCATATTTGCACTGTGTGATATTCCAAAATTATTAGATCTTATCTTATCAATTTAGCCTGGTTTTCATTTTCTGAATCCAAAAAATCTGTATCAAATGCTTATTACTCCATCTAGCCTCCATTTCATTTTCCAAGTCTAAAATATCTATATTAAATCCATATTGTATTCTATCTAGCCTTATTTTCCCAGTTCACAAATTCCATATCAAATCCATATTGTATTATATCCCGCCTTATTTTCCAAGTTCTCAAGTACCATATCAAATCCATATTGTAGTCAAAGCATTTGTATCTTTAATATAAAACAAAAACATTGTTGATTTTGTCAAATTGAGTGATTTCTTCAATATAATTTTATATATCTCCAAAAGAAGTTTTGGTATGAAATAAAGAGTCATTTTTATATGCCCGAAAGAATTTCGGACATATTATGTTATACCCCCTGGCGTCCGTCTGTTTGTCCGTCTGTCCGTCCGTCTGTCCGTCCGTCTGTTAGCAATTTGGTTTCCGGAGCTTAACTGAAGTTCCATTTGGCCCACAATATTCAAACTTCATAGGATGATTGTCCATATTGGGTAGAAGACCCCTAATGATTTTGGGGTCATAAGGTCAAAGGTCAAGGTCACTATGACCTTAAAACTGAAAACGTTAGCAATTTGGTTTCCGGAGCATAACTTAAGTTCCATTTGGCCCACAATATTCAAACTTCATAGGATGATTGTCCATATTGGGTAGAAGACCCCTATTGATTTTGGGGTCATAAGGTCAAAGGTCAAGGTCACTATGACCTTAAAACTGAAAACAGTTTTTGGAGCATAACTTAAGTTCCATTTGGCCCACAGTGTTCAAACTTCATAGGATGATTGTCCATATTTAGTAGAAGACCCCTATTGATTTTGGGGTCACAAGGTCAAAGGTCAAGGTCACTGACCTTAAAACTGAAAACAGTTTCCGGAGCATAACTTAAGTTCCATTTGTCCTACAGTGTTCAAACTTCATAGGATGATTGTCCATATTTGGTAGAAGACCCCTTTAGATTTTGGGGTCACAGGTCAAAGGTCAAGGTCACTATGACCTTAAAACTGAAAACAGTTTCCGGAGCATAACTTAAGTTCCATTTGGCCCACAGTATTCAAACTTCATAGGATGATTGACGATATTGGGTAGAAGACCCCTATTGATTTTGGGGTGACAAGGTCAAAGGTCAAGGTCACTATTACCTTAGAACTGAAAACAGTTTCCGGAGCATAACTTAAGTTCTATTTGGCCCACAGTGTTCAAACTTCATAGGATAATTGTCCATATTGGGTAGAAGACCCCTATTGATTTTGGGGTCACAAGGTCAAAGGTCAAGGTCACTATTACTTAGAAATTGAAAACAGTTTCTTGAGCATAACTTTAGTTCCATTTAGCCCACAATATTCAAACTTCATAGGATGATTGTTATTTGAAGGAGGTAATACTTTATTTTAGTCCCATGTCTTACAAATGCTTCATCTTTACTAAAAAAAAAAAACACTTTCGGGCATATAATGCTCCGCCTAGCGGTGCTCTTGTTAAATTGTTTTGTACCATACTGATTTTATTGGACTTTATTTGCACAGCTGCAAAACCTGTATTGGACTCAACTAGCACCTTGTCTTATAAAGGTTTAACTGTTCAGTGCAATAGAATTCAGTATTGTTTTTAAAATTGTATAATAATCTTATAAATAATAACGACCAGTGTATTGTATCACATGCTTTAATGTCTGAATTTATTATTTCATCACCATATTTTTACCCAGTTAGGCAGTTACAAATGTTTTAAGGGCAATTTCTGCTCATTTTTTGTCCCATTTAGTTATTTTATGTGCCGATTTTAAGTTTGTTATGCCAGCTTGAAATACTTAAGATACTTGTTCACACAACTATATTTTCACTGTTCAATCTCTTTCTATATTTCTATGAATCTTGATGAATGTTTATTGTTATAGAATTATTATGTTCATATATTCGAAATTCGTATATAAATAATATGACCTGATACGCTGTAGTATACTTATTACCCTACTGTCTTTGTTATACATGTATGTAGTATATGTAAATATATGTTAAAGTGCATATGATTAAACTCTTGTAATATGTTCTAGATATGTGACATGTTTAACATTGATGTTTATGTATTAAGATGATATACTTACGTATAAGTCTAATAAAAATATCTGTTCTGTTCATACACTGATATGAAATATATTTTAATGATACAGATTTAATCACGACAATTTAACCCCTAAGTATGTACAATGTGTAATTATTTTGTTGTAGGATAATCTGCAGGCAAGTCAATCACAACAGGCGGGCAACACTGCTACAACTGCAGGTAATAATTCTATGATAGTCTATGGCCAAGTGGTTAAGGTTGTTGACTTCTTACCACTTGCCACTTACTGCAGACTTTGAATCTATCTAGCTAGCTTAATAATGGTCCATGGATCTACTCAGGTGCCTGTTTGTACTTAAAATAATGCATGGAATGGCATCTGAGGTCTTCCTCCATCAGTATAGCTGGAAAGTCACCATTTTGGCCTATACTGTTGACATAAAATCAAACCAAAAAAGAAAAAAAAAATATCATATTGTTAATATTGATTCATATTGTGGATACTGATTTATTATTTTACTTTGAATTTTCTTCATGATTAATAAAGCAAACAACGAACAACTCTAATCCAGTCTTTGCCATATACCTCTATTTCATATTTTATGTACCTTAGCATGATACTAGTTCAGATTTTTAAGGGAATAAGGTTTGATCACTGGGAATAAGGTTTGAATAAGATTTGATTGCAGGGAATAGGGTTGGAATATTTGCTAGCAATCATGTTCAAGTGTTTGCTTGAAATAAGGTTTTAGTATTTGCTGGCAATAAGGTTTGAGTGTTTACTTGGAATAAGGTTTGAGTGTTGTTTGCAGGTTAAAGAAATTTAGGTATTTTCAGGGAATAAGGTATAGAATTAATATCAGCTGGGAATAAGAATTAAAGGGACTCCACTGAGGTTTTTTGACATGATGGGACTGGACATATTTTTTTGAAGCTATTACTCCATTTGATGTAGATCTATACTAATAACATGTGTGCAAAATTTCAGATCATTAGCTCGCACCGGTTTTCCAGAATAATTATTATAATAGTGAAAAATGACCAAAAATTGAAAAGCGTTTAAACCCTTTTCACTCAAATTGGACTGAAAATAGCACAAACATATGACTTGCAATATATTTCTTGTATATTTCTTAACAATATTTTATTTATATTTCTGTTTTAAATGCTCATGTTTAACTATGTAAAAAAATAAAATTTTATGTTTTTAGGCTTATAAACCTCAGTGGAGTTCCTTTAATAGTTTGCTTTAAAAAAAAAGTTAAACAGTTTATGGGGAATACGGTTGATGTGTTTCCTAGGACTCTGATTTAAATAAAGTTTAACTGTTTGCTGAGAATAAGGTTTATGTGTTTGTTTGGAGTTTTCTGTAAAAAAAGTTAAGCTTTTTGCTGGGAATAAGGTTTGTGTATTTGAAGGGAATAAGGTTTACTTGTTTGCTTGGAACAAGGTTTGAGTATTTCCAGAGCATTTATGATGAATTAGGTTTTAAGTATTTTCTGTGAATAAATTTTTATTTAGCAGGGAGTGAGAGCACTGCAGCAAGAGTCAGGAACCCTCAGTTTAAGGAGATGCCAGCAAGATTAAGTTCATTTGACAAATGGCCAACCACTGCACAACAAAGTCCACAAAGGTTGGCTGATGCTGGCTTGTTTTACACAGGTAAATATTGCTATATGCAACATTGACTAATGAGGGTCATGTCAGTTTTTAACTTATTTTCATGTATTAGTGATTTGATAGGCTAGTAGGGAGCCAAAACTAGCTGTTTTCATGTATCTTAAAAGTATGCTGTATAAAAGAATATAGTACTTCTTCCATCAATCAAAATATCAACTTGAAAGTGTTTAAATTTTAACTGTTTGTGGTGAGTACAAACTTAAATGTTAATGGCATATTCAACTTGTTGGATCAACCACTGAGATATGACCGGAAATGTGTTAGAAATGGGCATAAATATTAGAAAAAACAGTTAAATCATTATCATGCGTTATACAGGAATGAACGACCTCTGTAGATGTTTCACATGTGACGGAGGGTTACAGCGCTGGGACGCAGATGACGATCCTTGGATAGAACATGCCAGATGGTTCCCACAATGTCAGTATGTGAGACAGATTAAAGGGCAGGAATATATCAACATGGTACAGCAGGCGGCGGCACAGGCTCGTGCTGAAGAAGAGGTTAATTATGTTGCAGTATTATAATTCCATATGATGTGAATTTCTACATCAGTTGAATATTGATAAATTAACTTTGTATCCAAGTAATTAAATGATGTAAACCTGTCTTATAAAGCTATGTTTTGGCTGCCTTAAGTACATAATATGTATACAGAATTACTTTATATATAAAGTATGATGCTGGTAAAATTTAGTATAAGTGAGAAGGGTTAGCTATTGAACATCTTGTCATGTAATGTTTTATTCTGTGAACTCTTAATAATAATGAATCTTTTCCCTCATTTTGATAATTTATTTATAAGTCCTTTAACCTGCTAGAATTTAAAGTGATTTGCTTTTTGTCTTCAATATAGAGCCCAATAAGCAAGCACACCCAGGCTCTATACTGTTGGTAGTTCAAACTTTTTGTATTTTGATAATAGAAATCCCTTTTAATTAGAATGGACTGTACCAAAATGAAAGGAAGGAGAATAAAATTGAGCCGTGCCATGACAAAACCAACATAATGGGTTTGCGACCAGCATGGATCCAGACCAGCCTGCGCATCCGCACAGTTGGATCAGGATCCATGCTGTTCGCTTACCAACCCTATTACAAGTAGAGAAACTGATGGCAAACAGCATGGATCCTGATCAGACTATGCGGATGCGCAGGCTGGTCTGGATCCATGCTGGTCGCATACGCACTGTGTTGGTTTTGTCGTGACGCGGCTCAAATGATTAAGCAGGTTAAGGGTTAGAAAGTGTAGCTATATTGAATAGTATTTTCATCTTGTTGATATAGGACCCATCTGTTATAATTCCTGCAGTAGCACAAGGGGCTGGAAGAACTGGACCTGTGCAACAAGGGATGGAAGACTTGAACTTAGAAGACAATAGTAAGTTGTATGGACATTGGTATATCTTTAAAGCAGCATGTTGACAGAGTCATGGTATTTTTCACAGAATCTTAAAAATGTATTTAGGAGTAAAATACAGTAAAGTGAACAAAGAAGATTATGTACACATTGCAAGCAACACTAACAATTCAGGTAAATTACCAAAAAGATGTCAAAATAACAAAAAATAGCACTTGCTGCAATAGTGACACAGTAGAAACATGGTAATAAATCAGTCATTAATCGACACATCATGTAAATTATTACTTGAATCTTAAATCTTATCTTGAAATTTGAGTGCATTTTCTCAAGTTTTATTTTCATGAAATATTCTGGCTCATCTGGTCGCATTCAGCTTAAAAACACCATCGATTGAATTTAAAATGTAAGCCTTTATCATTACTTAAAAAAAAGTTTATTTCAAACTTCATTGACTGGGTTGAAGTGTTTATTAAATTACACTTTCATAAGTTTTTAAGTATGGAGAATGGTCCTCTGTTCGCAATTGTTGGTGCTCACATCCATATACAAATTTGTGAAAAGTGAAATTTTACTCTATCTTGTACTTTCTAAGGGAGTTAAAACAAAATCATTACCTAAACCAACTATTTGATTAGGCTTAAACTCTGACAAAAAATATATAAATGAATAAAAAACAATGAGAAGGGGGTAAAAAAGGAAATCATATAAGAGTTTGAAGTGTTATTCATTTTATTTCAGGTCCTCTGAACACATACGCTGCTCACTCTGTGATTGGAATTGGTTTTTCTCGACGTGCAGTTTTGATCGCTATCGATGAATATAAACGTCAAGGTAAGATACTTCTCCATCCAATTACAACTAGAATTTTTATAAGCATTAAAGACAACAAAAACAGTGAATGTTGTCTCATTTCCCCTGCAGGATAAAAATAGATTTTATTTATAGTTGTCTATAAAAAATAACAAACAGCATTGACAAAAAATGTGTTTTTTATGCATTGTGTGAACAATAGGTGTTGTTTTAACATATCAGATAGCATAATGTTATAATGCAAATGTTATATATAACAAAAAAGAGAATTTCCATCCTATTAACTTGCCTATTTAAAAAATATTATGGCTATCCACCACACGAGGGCATCAGTATTAGTGTAACTTGGTGACAGTTTTGTTTGCAACTTCATATCTCATCCATCAATCACTGAAGAGATGTGTGTTTGAAACTTTACACATGTCTTTATGATCAAAATAAGAGTTCACTATCCAAGGTCCTGAACTCTAAAATGGCTATTGACTGAATTATAGCCCTTTGTGAACTGGAAAAAAATTATTGTTTAATTTTTTGCATGCAAGATCAGTATTCAAAACTATTGAAGGTTTTCACTTGAAATTTTGCAAATGTTACGGACAGTTACTTTACAGGAGATTTGTTATATGTAACATACTTATATGTAAAGGGTTTTTTTTCAGCTGCTCCTGGTAAAGAGAATGACTATGGTTCCACAGATCTTGTGCGGATTCTTAGAGATCGTGAAGCAAGAGGCGAGGCCTTGCCCCCAGATTCACCCATGGACACCTATCTTGGTTAGTTTTTCTATTGAAAATGTCTCATTTTTAGACATTAATAAGGGATGGAAGGGCTGGGGGAGTAATATTCTTGAAATAACAATGATGCATTTAAATAGTTTTTTTGTTTACCGTTGTAAAAATATGAAATATGAAAATAAAATACAAGTTGAGTTAATAAACACTGATTTTTTATGCTCCAAGAAGAGAGGGAGCATATACATGTAGGAACGGCTTTGGTCATTCTTCTGTCTTTCTGTTACACTTGTATCTGGAGGATGATGTTGAAAAGAACTGAAGGACTGATTAAAATAGTAACTTAACATAGTGTAAGAGGCCATAGAGAGAAAGTACATTGTCTAGGAACAATTATTCTACCTGACTTTAAGTTAAATTCTGAATTATCAACATAAATTAAATACTTAAAAAAGTTAACTTAAAAAATTATTGACTGATATCTTTCATATTTGGTAGGTAGATACCTTTTGATAGTCCTTTTACTTTGATTGGATGAATTGGTCACTTTGGTCAAGGTCACTGATCTTTTATATCTGCTCATTCAACTTTTATTGTAGACATTTCAGCCTTCTTTTGTTACTTTGGTTCATTGATAACTTTTTTGCTGTGGCATAACTTAGGCTTCTTCTGTCACTGAAGTTCATTGATACCTTTTTAGCTTTCGCATACTTTTACATTAATTTTTTTTCAGGAGCCACAGCTGCTGTTTTGCTTCCTGAAAACTTGGGTAAATATAACAACTGCACCATAGAAAATAATCAGTCTTATAATTATTACATTCTTTTGATACTGAAACTATTCTTTAAAGCTGCATGCCTTCAGATGAGTCAAAATATTTCAAGAAAATCAAACTTGAGAAAGATGTACTAAGATTTTAAAGAAGTAAAAAGATTTAAGTTTCAAGTAATAATTTACATGTAATGTGCAATTAACGACTGATTTTGCTTTATTTTTTCAACATATATCTACTGTGTGACTATTTCTACTGTATGACTAACACAGTATGGGATCTTTTGGCATATTTAAACTCTCTCTGGTAATTTACATGGATTATCAGTGCCATTTGTTATGTGTTTATTACTTTTCATTGTTCAATTCACAATATTTTACTTTTAAAAACAAATATGAGCACAAATCTGGAGGCATACTGCTTTCATAGATTAGTGGATTTTGGGAGTCTTTAAATTTTTTTTCACATATAAGAATATTGCACCAATCTGTTGCCGCATTTGCTACCACTCCCTGTGGCAGTTGGCAGTACATTATCATGGGGAGATTAGCCATGTGTTTACTTTTCTTTTGTCTCCAAACTCTCAGGTCATTGCTATGGTTTTGATTTTAGTGATGAATTAGCATGGGTATGTCTTAACTTTCAGTGCAATAGTATTAAACAAGAAATTAATCATCTGACCTTAATTAGAGGTGGATTTGATAATTGTAAAGTTAGAATCACTGCTATTCTCATCAGTTAGCATGGAGTGTAAGACAGCAGACACATTTTTTAGAGTGAGACTAAAAACAGGATTAGAGCAGGACACTAAATACCGTGTTCCGGTATATACCGGGCAAGGCGCTTGAATCGTAAAATGCCAAAATCTTGCTTTTTCACGCAACGGAATGAACTTTAATAGGTCTAATTCATCTTTTCACACCGATTTAAGTATGATAACGAATGAAAAATGTAAAAATCAGCGAAAAAAACGATATTTGTCTATTTTGTGATCATGATTTCTGCAAGCGTCTAGAGGTACTGCTCCAATCCTGTATTGAGTTAAATCCCATTTTTTAATGTGATAATAAAAATTAATGAAAATATAAAACATCTGTTTTCTCTATAAAATATAATAAAAATTTTGGGATGTCACAGTTAGAAAAATGCTAACTGTTTAAAAGGCAACCTTATAACTGTGTTTTATGTTTAACCGACTATACTAATAAAATACTGGTACTTGTCAACATTGACTATTTCTTCATTACAAGATATGGCATTTTGTTTGTATTTTGTTGTACTCAAAATGATTACAATACATATCTGAAAATGGACTAACTATTTTCTGTTAGGGTTGTACAGTTCTCGAATTATATCATTGAGTACAACTAAAATACAAACCAATCGTCATATCTTGTTGTAAAAAACAGAGTTAATATAAAGAATCAATTTGAAACTTTTTAGCCTCTTTGTCAAATATTAATTCGGTTACCAGTTCTTTTTTGTCCCCCACCTTTACGAAGAAAAAATTGGGATATAGAAATAGGCTCCGGTTGTCGGTCTGTCCACCCGCTCTTATGGGACAGTAATAATGTGGCTTGAAGGACAATAGGTAACTGTTCTTTCTCTTTGATGTCATTCATTCAGTAATGCTTTTATGTGGCTATTTTCTTTTGTTAGGCTAAAAAGAACAATAGAGTAGCCACATTAATACTCTCCCATTAGAATTTCCGTCTTTCCGTCCGTCCATCACACTTTCTTGTTTCACCTGCAACCCTACCTCCAAGGTCAAGGTCACACTTAGAGGTCAAAAATTAATAGTCTGTTATAGGGTATATTTTTTGTCTGATCTATAACTTCTTAATAGTTCAAGGGATTCTGAAATAACTTGGCACAAATAGTCACAATAATAAGACAATATGTCAAGTACAACCACTGCACCCCTACCTCAAAGGTCAAGCTTAGAGGTCAAAGGTTAACAGAGTCTGTTATATGGTATATTTTGTGTCCCGTCCATAACTTCTTCATAGATCGAGGGATTTTGAAAATACTTGGCACAAATAGTCATAATGATAAGATGATATGTCATGTGTAACACCTGTGTCCCTACCTCCAAGGTCAAGATCACACTTAGAGGTCAAAGATTTACATAGTCTGTGATAGGGTATATTTTGTGTCCAGTCCATAACTTTTTCATAGATCAAGGGATTTTAAAAATACTTCCCACAAATTATCACAATTGTAAGACCACATGACAGACGCATAACATGGGTCCCTACCTCCAAGGTCAGACTTAGAGGTAAAAAATTATCATAGTCTGTTATAGGGTATATTTTGTGTCTAATCTATAACTTCTTCATAGTTCAAGGGATTTTGAAAATACTTGGCACAGTTACAATAATAAGACGATGTCATGTACAACACCTGCACCCTTACCTCCAAGGTCAAGGTCACACTTAGAGGTCAAAGCTTAACATGATAGATTTTTAAATTCCGTGTTTCATGTTATCTCTGTATTAAAATTGTTGCATTTGCAGATCTAGCATTGATCATAATTTTGGACTGAAAGTCCTGAGATCCATACCTCAATCTTTTGAAATAGCACAATTTTATGCTTCATATAAAACTTTCCTGAGGCTGGGGACATTTGTAACTCTTACAAATTCTTGTCTAAACGTTTTTTAGCTAAAAACCGGCTGTACCTGTTAAAACCTATAAACATGACAGCCCCAAATTTCAGATTCATAGTGTTTAGTATAAAGTATGTAATAATGTTAAGTTTTTATGTTTTACAATTATCTTGCTTGCTTTAAAACATGGATTCTGGTTTACTACACTCATTCTGCTCATTTTGTCTGGCTTAGTATATGGTAATACAGCTAGCTATATCTATGTCTGGCATTCCAGGGGGTTACTTTTTGCTATATGTACATGTATTGTTGTTTATGTCTTTTTGTACATGTGTATTTTAATATCTAATATTGACTATTCTGGTCTTTCGCAAATATTTTAATATTTTCACAGTGGACTTCTGGGTATAACAAGAAAGGTAAAAGTTGAAATGTATAGAAATACATACAAGTTTAAGCAAGGTACTGTGATTGGAAGTATCTGGTGCTTTAAATAATTATTGAATAATATAGGCTTGCATTGATTTTTGTGTCACCTGCTACTGAGTAGTGGTGATATACAGGGATCACCCTCTTCCAACATTATTCTTTAATAAATAGAGGATATTCAAGTTTTTTTCTATAAATACACGATTTATTTTCATCAAGTGGTATACAAAATAAATATTTCGTGAGTGGTGATAGCCAGTGAAATTTGATAATTTTCATACTACAAATCCCTTAAATTTTGTTTACTGGCAGAGTTCAGAAAAAAATTGGCAAGATTCCAGTGAAAATACGGAAAATATATTTCATTGCAGTGAAAATAAATTTTTACATTGAAAATGAAAATATGCATTTTATTTAATCAATATTTCTTATTTATCATGGCTATCATCGGGCAACACATGTGATCACAGATCACTCTTGTGTTACCCATTGTAATTTTCTCAAGTCATATGACCACAGTAATGTTGTTTATTATTTATTCTATCATATAGGTATATACCGGTAGGTAAGATTTATTTTTGGTTAGCATTGACTAGAACCCTGTGTGTTTCTTTAAATATTATAGAAAAGATGTATTGTTATGTGGTATAGAAATGATATTTTTTTCATTCATAGATCCCGAGGAAGAAAATCGCCGACTTCGAGATATAATGAAATGTATGGTATGTCGAGAGAATGATACAAACATTTTATTTTTACCCTGTACACATCATAGGATGTGTGAAGAATGTGCTGAAAAAGTTCAAGTTTGCCCAGTGTGTGACCAGAAAATCTCTGAAAAAATTAAAACATACTTATCGTAACAAAATTAATGATCCAATATTGTTGTCTGTGGTCTGTTATACTGTTGGTCATATTCCAAATTGAAAATAGTCAATCCACAGGAAGAAATTCCCATTTAAAATGTTGAATAAAAAATTTTAAAATGATTTTTTTACATTCATTAAATTGAAATGCCACCCTAGACAGTGATTGTTTGCATTTTTTCCTGATCACTGCAAAATTTCAGTTGCACATTTTTTCCCAATTTTTAACAAAACAATGCTCAAATTCCTTATTCCTCGGGTATGGGTCATGTTCCCAAAATTCTGGGGGAAAAAATATGCCCAAAACCAAAAAATTACCTTATAATTGCAAGCTAGCAGTTAAACCCAGAATTTTAAAGCAAAACTATTGTTACATTGTTAAATGATAACAAAACAATACTTTTACCAGGTTTTATTTGTTACGATACTCATCATAAGACAGTGAAATGAAAAAAAAATCATCCATTTATCATTCAACAAAATTGGTAAAAAATAAAAAGCAATTGTCATATGAAAGCTCTTTAGAAAAATAATTTACTTGTGTATAGATTATATAGTGAATAAAGGAGTAGTTTAAGGGAACAGAAATTGTTTCAAAATTAAATGCCCACCCTCAAAATTGGGCATCTCCCTCTTTTAAATGGAGACAATAAACACGAAGAATTGAACATGATTTTAAAATAGAGCAGCCCCTTTTAATTTTTGGGTTCAGGGATTATCAAAAAAACTTTTTTTGTTTGTTTCTTTTTAAACCCCTTTTTTCCCAACAGAAAATTTCTTTCTTATGGGGGGTTTAGTTTCCAAACCCAAATCATTCTGGAGAGTTAAAAACCAGAAAACTAACGCCCCTTCCTCCGCCTAAACTCCCAAAGCTCCCCGGGGTTTAAAACCCACGCCAGAAAAGGTAATTTGGTTTAGAAGTCATCGACCCCAAACCCCTCAAAAAAGAGGGGGCTTTATAAAACTTGTTGGGGGTAAAAAATTCGTTAAAAAAAAACCGCCCTAGGGGAATTTGACAGAAACCTAATTAAAATTTTTTAAAAAACATGTTACTAGTGACGAGTCTTCAGTAGTAAATGAATTAAAAAGTTCGTAACTGTAACCCCAGGTTATAACTACATAATTGAAAAGCTATACTAAAGCTAAATCTATTCAAAAAATCAAACTGTAGAGCCAAAAATAAGCCCTATGGCAGCAATGAAAAAAATTCTAGAAAAGTACAACCTTTATATCAAACTGAACAGGCAGTATAAGTCGACTAAGAAAGGTCAATTTTCATGCAATATATCGAAGTATCGTGTAATTTATCACTTTATTAGGAAACTAGAACTATCACTAAATGTGATTAATACCCCCACAAGACTGCTTCGGAAATGAGGATGTTACTAGTAACAGAATACCTTGTAAAAGAATTGAAATATAGAGTTATGGTTGTGGGCAATTAAAGATAGTTGTGGTTCTTGTATGTTGCATTTTCTTTCAATGTGGTCGGCCATTGATGAAGTTTAATTGAATTACTCTGTAATAAGTCCAGAAAGACAAAGAAAAGGAACAAAGGGCATTAACTCTATAAATACTGAAGATATAGTTATAGTTCTTATGCACTGCACTTCCTCTTATTGTGCTTGACCATTGTATGAAGTTGTTTTGAATTCCAACCAGTACGTTTTAAGTTATGCTCCTGACAAGGAAAAGTATCAAAGGGCAGTAACTTTGTATTATGTCAAAATGGAGTTATGGCTTTTGTGCACTGCACTTCCTTTTAATGTCCTTGACAACTGTATGAAGTTGTATTGAATTCCAAAAAGTAGTTTTCAAGTTATGCTCTGGACAAGGAAAAGTAACAAAGGGCAATAACTCTGTAATCAGTCAATATGGAGTTATGGTTCTTGTGCACTGCACTTCCTCTCAATGTGCTTGACCATTGTATGAAGTTATATTGAATTCCAACCATTAGTCTTCAAGTTATGGTCCGGACAAAAAAAGCAATGGAAAAGTAACAAAGGGCAATAACTCTGTAATTACTTTAGATAGAGTTATGGTTCTTGTGCATTGCACTTCCCCTTATTGTGTTTGACAATTGTATGAAGTTGTTTTGAATGCCAACCAGTTGTTTTCAAGTTATGCCCCGGACAAGGAAAAGTAACAAAGGTCAGTAACTCTGTAATTAGTCAAGATAGAGTTATAGTTCTTATGCACTGCACTTCCTCTCAATGTGCTTGACCATTGTATGTAGTTATATTAAATTCCAACCATTAGTCTTCAAGTTATCGTCCAGATAAAAAAATCAATGGAAAAGTAACAAAGGGCAATAACTCTGTAATTACTTTAGATAGAGTTATGGTTCTTGTGCACTGCACTTCCCCTTATTGTGTTTGACAATTTTATGAAGTTGTTTTGTATGACAACCAGTTGTTTTCAAGTTATGCCCCAGACAAGGAAAGGTAACAAAGGGCAATAGTTGTTTTCAAGTTATGCCCTGGACAAGGAAAAGTAACAAAGGGCAATAACTCTGTAATGAGTCAAGATAGAGTTACGGTTCTTATGCACTGCACTTCCTCTCAATGTGCTTGACCATTGTATGTAGTTATATTGCATTCCAACCATTAGTCTTCAAGTTATGGTCCGGACAAAAAAAAAAATCAATGGAAAAGCAACAAAGGGCAATAACTCTGTAATTACTTTAGATAGAGTTTATAGTTCTTGTGCACTGCACTTCCCCTTATTGTGTTTGACAATTGTATGAAGTTGTTTTTCAATTCCAACAGTAGTTTTCAAGTTATGCCCCGGACAAGGAAAAGTAACAAAGGGCAATAACTCTGTAATTAGTCAAGATATAGTTATGGTTCTTTGTGCACTGCACTTCCTCTCAATGTGCTTGAACCATTGTATGTAGTTATATTGAATTCCAACCATTAGTTCTTCAAGTTATGCTCCAGACAAGGAAAATGCAACGGACGTCTGGACCGACCGACCACCGGGTGACTCCTATATACCCCCCAAACTTCGTTTTTGGGGTATAACAAGTTTTTGAGGTTTCTGAGAAGTACCTTTTAACCTTTACCATAAAAGAATTTATGTTTTAATTTGCCGCCTTCTTAAAAATTTTTTTGGGTTTTGGGGTTTAAAACCCTTAAATAAACTATGGGGACTTTCCCCGGGTTTTTTTGGCCCGGGGGAATACCTCGAATGCCCTTCCATGTAAATTTCAGGCACGAAACTGGCACACGAGTAGAACCACCAACAGTCCACAAGCTAGCTGGATAGCTTCCTCACATGAAACCAACCAAAGTCCCTGTTGGGATTCAAACCCCAGCAGTGGGGCAAGGGGTTTGAAGTCATGCCCTTTAACCATTTCCCTGGAAGTATTGCTGTCTTTGAATTTGAGGGAATTCTTTTCATTTTTAAGAGATTTAAATATAAAAATAATCTAACCTAGCCCAATTTGCATCGATATGCCTGTTTAACACTGTTTCTTTTTTTCCAGTTATTTAAAAACAACATGCCCCCAGATAAATGCCCAATTTTTTGAAAATTTGAAAAGTTTTTTAATACTATTTTTATTGTAGTAAACCAAAAAATGCAATTTTTCACATTTAAAAAGCACAACCTATATATATTACTTAAGAGGCAAAATATGCAAAAAATACCCCTTCAGCATTAAATAGCACTAGAAGTTATTTTAAAAAACTGAAAAATTGGGCTTAATCACTCATGTAAATTTGTACAAGAATTTTGAATCTTTATACCTTTCCTAAAATCTTTGTACATTTTTCTCAGGTTTGATTTTATCGAAATATTTTTGCTTATCTGGAGGTGTGCAGCTTTAAAGGTTAATATCTGTTCAGCAAATTTCACAGTGATTTTTTGATACATTTACTTACACATTCCGTCATTGATACATTTTTGAACACTGCTATTTTTTTGTACACTGCTACTTACAAAGGTTTTATCTGAATAACATTAGCAATTTATATACAATGAAATCCATAAAGATTTTCAGCAAAGTGTTCAGATATGTACACATATAGTAGTGATAATTATATAGCTCTTCTTGATTTAGTCCTTTCAACATTACATCAGAAATCCAAGTTTTGTACTTTAAATTCTTAAAATTTTCTAACATATGCCATAATTGATGCACCACTTAATTATTAAAGTGAATTGGTCTACAACAGACATATTTTCAGTATTTCAAATACTGACAAAAAACAACAGAAATGTATCGTTTGGATATTCTTAAAAAACATTGCTTGAAAAAAAAATGTTGATAAAGTTCTAAATGATTTGGTATGGACATTCATATGGTAAAAAATATTTTGTTCTACAAAATTTTATAGCCTAAAAATATTTAAAATCAGATCGTGTATCTCACACTTGCCAACAACATCCATATATAATTCTTTCATGTTTTGTTGTTATGTACAATACTAGAATATGTTCAAATGAATTGTTTATTGAGTTTTACAGACCTTCCATTATAGACCAATTCACTTTAACGACAAAAACCTCATAAATTAACAACAGATAAATAATAATTCAAAGCAGAAAAAGAAAAAAATTAATTATACAACATCAGCTGTAGAAGTGTAAAGCACAGCTTATTTAAATCTGATAAGCTAAAAAGTCTATATGATATTAATCAGATTTTTCTAGAGCCTTAATTCTTTCCAGCAACGGAGGATGAGAGAAATGCCATGTTGAATACAGCCAGTCATTGACGGGGAAACCTAGATTGTCTTTATTTAGTTTAATGAGGGCAGTTTTCAGTGGTTCCGTGTATCGCAGCTTCTTGGCAAAGTTGTCGGCCTGAAACTCGAACATCCTCGACAGAGCAGTCACACAGAAGGACAGTATCTGAAATAAATCGATCAAAATTTTAGGAAATTTAAACTACAGAAAGTAAAAAATCATCAAAATATATAAAAAGTTAATGATTTTCTTAATTTATATAAAAAACAAGCAATTATCATAGTATTGCAAGCAATCCATAAGTCCCCTACCGGTTAGAACCCCAGCAACATTCTGATGGGTTATTGGCCATTCAATTTTACCAGTGAATGAATGACATGAATGAACTTATATCTTTTGAGTTCTAAGTTTGATATAGTAATGTGTTAAGTTTCCCTGCCTAGTAAGGAAATTATGTTTATACAACCTTGTCATATTATTACAATGTGGGATTTTAAAGTAAATCCTATAAGGTATGAAGAAGATGGAGTGAAAAATACCAATTTCTCGAAAAAAATCTAAGTTCAAGGGGGACATAATTCTGGAAATAGTCTTGCTAGAGTATTTAACCTTCTCAAAAATGTTAAGTGATAATAAGAAACATATATATGAAGTTTGAAGTAGATACATTAGGAAATAAAGAAGTTATTTAAAAAAGACAACTTTTTTTTTCATAAAAATTCTAAGTTCAAGGGAGGTACTGATAATTTTTGTGCTAGAGTTGTAAACCTTATCACATATGATGTAGTTGATGACCAGAAACTTATATTTAAAGTTTGAAGTAAACACCTTAAGAAATAAAGAACTTATAGTGAAAAAGCTGAAAAATTTAAATCAGAAATCTTGAAATTCAGGCTATTTGTTGCCATAGCAACCAGAATTTTCAACATAGGAAGAAAAGAAAAAGATGTGCATAATCTCCAGACTGCCATCTACCAATATTTTAAGTTTCATAAAAATATTTTCAGCACTTTTTAAGTTATCACTGGATCCAGTTTATGTTTTATATTTGCCATATTTTCAGACTATTTGTTGCCATAGCAACCAGAATTTTCAACATAGGAAGAAAAAAAAAAGACGTGCATAATCTCCATACTGCCATCTACCCCTATATCAAGTTTCATAAAAATATTTTCAGCACTTTTTGCGTTATTGCGGGATCCAGTTTTGTGGACGGACGGACTGACAGACAGACAGACGGACGGAGTGTAAACCTAAAGTCCCCTCCGGTTAAACCGGTAGGGGACTAATAAAAACATTTCATAACATTTAAATTATTTTCATACAATCTGACAAATTTATTTAGGAACAAGAGCCATGTCAACATGGCCATCCCCCGCCGAATGTGTTTGCTCATTGGAAGAATGTATATGTAGTAGAGCGGAATAATTCCATTTTGAGAGGTCTTTTGGTAATGAAAACTGATGGCTATAATGATTACAGATTTGAAACCTATGTGAATACTGATGGCTGAAAATAACAAAGGGCAATTACTGAAAAATAATGCAGGGTAGGTTATCATTCTTGTGTGCTGCATCCCTCCTCAGTAAAATCTATCCACCTATGAAGTTTCAAGTTGATACCTCAAATACTTTTTGAGAAAAAAATTGAATTGAAAAATTAAGTATGAAAAAGACCAATGGGCAATAACTCAAAAATTATAAAAGGTAGAGTTATCATTCTTGTGCAGTGCACACCTCCTGAGTGAGATCTATGCACCTATGAAGTTTCATTTTGATATCTCAAAGGCTTATTGAGTTATGCTCTGGACAAAAATTAATTTTGAAAAATAACAAAGGGCAATAACTCAAAAATAATGCAGGGTAGAGTTATCATTCTTAAGCACTGCACTCCTCCTCAATGAGATCCATCCACCTTTGAAGTTTCAAGTTGATACCTCAAATACTTTTTGAGATATTAGCTCTGGACAAAATAACATAAAAAAAAACAAAGGGCAATAACTCAAAAATTGTATAGGGAAGAGTTATCATTCTTGCACACAACATTCCTCCTCAATAAGATCTATCCACCTATGACATTTCATGTTGATATCTCAAACACTTTTTGAGTTATGCTCCACTCAGGTGAAAAATTAGGTATGAAAAATAACAAAGGGTAATAACTCAAAAATTATGAAAGGTAGAGTTATCATTCTTGTGCACTGCACACCTCCTGAGTGAGATCTATGCACCTATGAAGTTTCATGTTAATATCTCATAAGCTTTTGGAGTTATGCTCTGGACAAAAATCAATTTTGAAAAATAACAAAGGGCAATAACTCAAAAATCATGCAAGGTAGAGTTATCATTCTTGTGCACTGCACTCCTCCTAAATGAGGTCTATCCACCTATGAAGTTTCAAGTTGATACCTCAAATACTTTTAGAGATATGCTCCGGACAAAAATGTCGGACGGACAGAAGGTCGGACGGACGGACGGAGACTATTTCTATATCCTCCGCCGAAATTTTTCGGCGGGGGATAATAAATTTGAAATGAGGGCTGTTGGTAGGAAATGTTAACTAAAGTGTGACTCTGACTCCTGAGTGAGTACAATACCGGTAGCTCTATTTTTCGAATATTCCAGCTAAAACTCCATTGACAGCAATAAATCACTTTTCAGCATCACTGGTGCAAAAAGTAAGACCACAGATGCCCCTGAATGATTTATTTCAGGCAGGAGTGAAATATGAGTAGAACCATCAACTGTCCATAAGCTAGCTGTAATTTAAAGTGTAAATCTTCCCCCACATAAAAGAATACAATGTTCCTGAAGAAATTCTATGAACCAACAGCATAAAAGAGATGGGGCAAGAGATTCAAAGCCATAAAGATCCCCTGACATGTCTATAAGCTCTGTACCTAACATAGTATTACAGGAGGCTAATGTTTTCCTCATAAGAAAAATTCCTACAGTACATTTATGTTCAGGTTAAAGCAGCATGCCTCAAGATATATATAATAATTTTCACAAAATTTTTTAAAAATATATTAAAATGTAAAATATTGTCAAGTGAACAAAGAAAATAATACATTTTTGTATATACTTTTCAAATGTCACTTAAAATCTACGGAAATTGCCAGAATATGTACAAATAGCCCTTACTGCATTAGTCACACAGTAGAAATAGGTGATGAACACTACAAAATCAGTCATGATTAATCACATAACATGGAAACTCTTTCTTGAATTGTGAGTATTTTTACTTTTCTTAAAATCTTGGTACATTTTCCTCAAGGTTAAATTTCTTGAAATGTTTTGGTTCATCTGGAGGCATGTAGCTTTAAAAATCAAAGTTTTATTTGTCTATATTGGTCTAAGTAAACATGCAGATGTCTTACCTCATTGTAGGGTGAAAACACATACTGGAAAATGATAACGAGTCCTATAAGAGTTGGCCGAGTATTGAATCCAAATGCTGTATATAATACTTGTTGATCTATGAGGAAAGCGAAGGCAGCAAAACACATGAATGAGTTCACCTAAATAATTAAGGGGAAAAAAAATGAAACAATTTATTAGTATGAACAATAGAGAATGCAGTAGTTTATTGATTCAATTAAATTTTAACCCTATTGATGCCTGTAGGAGCTTATTTCACAATACATGCATTTTATTTCAATAATTCCTCACCCCCCCCACCCCCCACATTTAGTGAAATACAAGAACTATTTTGAAATGCAAGTGTTTCACAGGATGGGACTCATAATCCAAGGATCACCCTCCGTGTGGGTTCAAATGTCAGGGGGCGAGTTGTTGTTTCCTTAAGCAAAAAACCTAACACTAATTGCTCATTTATCAATACTGGTTTGTCCTAGGAAAAGATTTGAGACTGTGTCTCTAAGCTATAAATTCCTACACAATTAAACTAAGATCAGTTCTGTATAAATCAAAGTAACGTAAATTTGTCACATTCACCAAGCTTATAGCGGCTGTATTTTTTTTACATTGCCTTAAGTAATTACTGAATATACAAATTTACAGTTGTCACATTTACAAACCTGAGATATGACTAGATTTTTGATTATATGTCCTAATTTCCAGTGGCCTAGTTCATGAGATAGAACAGCTAGAATCTCTTCATTGTTACAACCTTGTTTCTTATGCTCTTTGGGTTTCTCTGTGTTGGTTTCATCCACTTTGGGTTCTTCTTCTGTCTTTTCATCACTTTTATCTTCAGACTCCCCTTCCTATAAAGAATTAAATTTTTGATACTGTTAGGTAAAACACTAAAATGCTTGGTCTTTTTCTTTACTACATTTTACTTTGAATAAAAATTAGAGAAAATGACCAAACTAGAAATCAATAAATCAGATAAAATGTTACATATCCACCAGATAGAGATATACACATCTCACAGGCTAACATATCCCAATTTGACTGAAATGGATACTATAACACATAATATAGGCTAACATGAATGAAACAGGTATATCCTATTTTGTTTGGAAATATAAATGAAACAGGAATGTCATATCTTTAAGGCAAACATGACTGAAGTCGCTTTGTCCTATGTGTAGGCAAACATGACTAAAGCAGCTATGTCCTATTTCGTAGGCAAACATGACTGAAGCGGCTACGCGCTATCTTGTTGGCAAACATGGCTGAAGCAAGTATGTCCTATCTTATAGGCAAACATGACTGAAGCATCTATGTCCTATCTTGTAGGCAAACATGACTGAAGCCACTATGTCCTATCTTGTAGGCAAACATGATTGAAACAGGTACATCCTATCCTATCTTGTATAGTTGTACAAAAATGAGACTGAAATGGGTACATCCCATGTTACAGGCAAACACAACTGAAATGGCTTTAACCAGTCTTCAGAGTGGGCAAAATCCATTTTATCTTAAACATTTTTTTTTTTGCCTGTATGATATTTTATACAGTTCGTTCTTGTCCATACAGGCTGTGGGACAACCTGGGCAATATGTACAATTAATTTCGTCCCCCCTGGAATCTTGTGAGCAAATATGATTGAAATGGATATATCCTGTCTTGTCGGCATGAGCAAATATGATTGAAATGAGTATAAAAGAAAGAATACAGATTTCTTTCACCACTTGCACGAGTACTTTCCATACAGATGTGACTGATGATATGAATCTTTAGGATTTACCTTTTTGCCCTCATTCAATGGGGAATAATCCTCTAATAATGTATCAAACAAAACAATTCTTTTGTTCTTGAAAAACCCATAAAAGTAGGCATTGCTGTGGGAAGACCTCTTAGAACCTGTCAGAACAAAAATAACCATTGTAAATTCTATATTTAATTTAGTAAATTTGAATAAATATTCATATTTATGCAGCAGTCAAGTGAAAGTCGAGTCCCAAAACCTAGGAAACAGTGAGGACTATGACTTTCAAATTTTTAAACCTTTGGTAAGTGTATGTACACTAAAAGTCTCTATTAAATGCTCCACCACTGGGAGTTAAGTCTTGAGACAATTTTAGGCAATTTGGCCTATACAGTAATATTTATTTCACTGAAAATTCTTTTTTCTCAAATGAAAGAGGTGAGTTGCAAATGACTCCAAAATCAATTTTCAATAACAGTAACCTTGACCAATAAAGCTCCCAAATACATTACATGTATATAATTTAGAGATAATTCTGAGACATATAATATGAGAGATCTTTGAAAAATATAAAACTTTGGTTTGTTATCATATAAACATCTGGTTGGTATACATACCTTCCACCACATAGAGTTTAGTTAGAGGGAAATCAATACTCTTTGCTAGATTCTCAATCTTAGTTCTCAGTTCTCCTTCAGGTAATGGTGTAAATTTATCAAACAATGGAGCGATGTAATCAGCATAGATTGTAATCATCAGCTGTAAAATAAAATATGGTATACAGTCCTTGACTTGTTTTTCTACAGAGCCTGCTTAACCCAATTTTTTTTTTCATTCTTACACCCTGATGGTAACAATTTTCATTGTCAACTTTTCAAACCTGATTTTATTCCTGAAGGTTTTTCACCATTTAAAATCATATTTTTGTTCTTTTATGCCATGCAACTCATTAAATAAGAGTAAAATATAATACAGCCCATATTTACACTAAGAGCACAAGCAAAAGGGTATAAATCCACATCTAATGAAAATTTTTATAATTTTTTTTAAACAGTTATCCTATATTGTTTCTATAATCTTATGGCATACTCTCCAAAAAGTTGTAACATAGAATATCTTTGTTATCCAACACTCTAGCATATTGTATATTAACAGAATAAAATGTTGCAGAACAAAATATTTTGCTGCTATTTCAAGCAGACATTTAACTGTTTAGCAATGATTTCACACATGCACCATTCACTTTTTAAGGAAATTTACAAATACACCATATTTCTTTCATACAGGCATTTTGAAAGTATTCTTTGACAAAATCCAAAAACAAATTTTAAGCTAGCAAAGCGTAACCACTGTCAGAATAACACACTAACTTGTGGCATTTCCCTTTTATTTTTGCAGATGTAAAATTTAAAATCTACTTACAAGGGAGACTACTAGTAGGAATAGCCACACATAGATAAAGAAGTAGTCCCCACCAATCTGTATAATGTAGATCAACAACGCTGTGATTGGTAAAGCAATCGCCATGGTTACAAAGAACTTCTTGATCTGATCTTTCACAAAGAATCCTGGTGTCTAAAATACAAAATATAGTCACCAAATATACTTAACTATACTAAAAGTGATGAAGAAAAAGGTATAACTGGACTATCAAGCAACCTGCCTACATTCTAATAGCCTGCTTCGAAACTATGATTCAGGTGAGCTTAAAGCAGGTGTACAAGTAACTGTAAAGCATAAATAAATGTCAGTTAAAGTGAAGATGTGCTTGTGCTATTAATTTTTAAACAATCCTTTCTATAATTTTCTTTATATATTTTAATAATACATACACATACTTTGACAATTGAATGCCAACTTAACATACAGCATGAATGACCTTCAAACAGATTCATTTCTATACCTTTTTATACTGACATTAAACTAGTAACGAGACAAGAAATGACTGAATCAGACATATACTGTAATGCAAGAATAGTGCTTAATAGCTTATGCATCTTTTTTGTGCATTAATATATGCAGAGGCTCTCTGCCTTATAACATATCTTGCTCTGCCTCCCCTTGCTTCTGCAGATCTATGCACAAAAAAGGGTGCATTAATGCTATATTGTAATATATATTATGTGGAACCTGTTTATTGAATCCATGTCTTTGTTCAATGACAAAGGTACTGTACACTGAAAATGGCATACTGGTGACTGTTGAAAAACACATGGAAAACATCAGAAATACCACTGATTGCAGAATCTGAAATTTGGAAAAATTTATATTGAAATAAGACACAAGTAAATATCTATTTTTAAGTCATATCTTTGAAATTCTGCAACTGTAACCCTGCTGAAACTGAAAATGCAATTTGCACATCAGACCACCCTAGACATTCATGCAGTCTGACCAAGCTCTATACTGGTTTGTAGATAAATTTTTGTATTTTGATGCTAAAATCCCTTTTACTTTGAATAGACTGTTCCAGTTTCAAAGCAGGACAAAATTCAGCAGTTAAGGGTTGATTACTTGAAAAAATCTAAACTATAAACAGATAATTTCCTCATACAAGAACATTTCACTTTGTATCAAATTTCCCTGCTCAAGGCAATATTCTTTAATGAAAGATACATTTTTAATAAAAGTTTTGTATCTGCTAAAATATAATATTCTGCTTATAAGATTTTAAATGTACATTAGTAATCATTAAGAAACATGTCCATTAACAGAGATAGTTTGATACATAAATTAATGATAAATTACCTCATAGCTGGAGTCATAGCCATAGTTGGCCAATACATTTCCAGATATATTCCACAGAAATGGAATTCCACCATATAACAATATCAGCTGTAACAAATACAATCAATAAATGAGCATATTATAAGATCTTTGAGCATACAAATTTGAATTCACTTTGACCATGCAAATTTGATTTCACTTAAAACTAATCAAAATTTAGAAAAAAAAGTTATAAAATAATTAAGGTTTGAATAATTTGAATAACTGTCCATAACACTGACAGCGTACACGGCTATTCTCAGTGCTTGATAGTCCAAAAAGGGGCATAACTCTGTAAACAAGGTAACTCAAAGTTATGGGACCTGCACCCATCCTATTAGATAATCACAAAAAACAGGTTTCAACCCATTCCCTTCGGTAGTTTTGAAGATACCAACTTGCAGGTAAAAACTTAACGGAAATGTAACAATAACGTCAACACTGACATCAGAGAAAGTACAATAGCTCTCCCTATTCTTTGAATAGTCAAGATGAAAATGAAGTTAGATCTAGCAATACCTTTGTTTATCAATGAAGAGTTCCCAAGTCTGAGAAATGCTTTTTTTTTGTTTTGTTTAGATTAACCTTATTTTACTCTTAGGTGCTTTAAAGCATTTTAGGGGCTACAATACTAGACTATCACCTGAAACTTAATTTATTTAACTTACAGAATGTTCAATTTCTCCCCAAATTCCTACCCAGAAGCCAAAGTTGCTCTTGTCAAGATTATACAGCCTGGCTTTCTCATATGTCTCTTGATCCATTACACCCTTTAACTTCTCTGGTATATGTGTCACAGTTCTGTATAGCTCCCTCTGAAAAATAGACAAATCTTCAAATATACATGTACAAATTTATCACCCTCAGGATTGGCTATTTATTTTATCATCTTCAGTAACTCAGGCTATTTTATCATATTGATAGACATTGTACTGTATAAATAGAATGTGTAATAGAGGTTAACAACATTATTACATTTATAAGCAAATTTTTTGTTATTTATAGGCTATAAATGCTTTTCAAATATGCATAACCTCCCCTTATACATTTAGTTATCAGGCACATTTTTCAATTCTTAAAAAAAAAAGAATGTCCCAAAAAATTTGTATCTTTGAACATTGTATTTTAAGTAATAAGTATGTTTGTTTCTGAATTAATGTTCAATGATAATGGTTATTTGTTCAAACTGAAAAATTAATGGCTTTAACTAGAGTTAGAACATTTACACCAAACATTACTATCCTTTTAAAAAGTAGTTTGTTAATCTGCTTTAAGTGGGAAATGGTAAAATAATGTACATCTTTGATGACATCAAGATTATTTAATTTGAAGAAAATTTTAAAAAACATTTATTACCAAATCGCAGATTTAGACATAAATTTATATGGCATTCTAGTTTGTTCCATTATGCAGTTTAATGGGGGTTTTCATATCTATCTTCCATTAATGCCAAACCCCTTGCAGGGACGTAGACATGTATACCTGTATATATTTTTGTAGTATTTCAAACTAGCTGTTATCCCAAATAGTCATGCAACTTGTGATATCAAATCATCTTAGTTCTTACCTGTCTATATGATAAATATGACTCCCATAAATAGACCAGCCACATAAATGCAAACACAGCGTAGAATATAGATTCTGGATCCATTTTTCTTCTTCAAAATTGTGCCAATGAGGAACAAATCTAAATAAAAGAAAGCAAGATTTGAAACAATCTAATTGAATTTGAAGCAAAAGATACAAGTATCCCTTTCTCGTATAAGCAGGGTTTCTCATACTTTTTTCTTAATATAACATCCTAGTCCAACTATTTGTACTAAGCAATGAGATATTGTGCTATTTTATGTAAACACAATATCTCCCCTCTACGTACAACATAATAAGAACATTTTCTTTGGTGAAAAGCGAGATTCTTACCCAGAACAAAAGTTTATCAGAATCTAGCTTTGGCATGTCAATATATTTCGACTACAGTACATCCAGGAAAAATGTATTAAAAATGACTAAGTAGACCTGTAATTTTTATCTTAGTTTAATTGAATCAGAAAACACAAATACTTCCTATGATAAAGCATTTTAAACACTTAATTAAGGATGACAAAAATGATCTGCAGTGAAATGCAGAATAAAATCATCACTTATCGACAAGCCTTCAGCAACCAATCGAATTTCCAAATAATACAAGAAAGTTTTTAGTTAAGTTTAAACAGAGGTTGCAGGTCAGTATTTACAAATAAATTCATTTGCAGTTGAAATAGCAATGTTAATTGTTTTTGGAGTTAAGGAAACCAGCATGAGTTATAGGTGTTTATTAGTTTATTATTGCATATCATTTGCATTTAGGTTTCAAGCTTGTTCTATTCATTAAGTGGCTTGAACACTTTCTTACATTCATTTCATACATATTTAACTCTTTTACTAACGTCAGGCCTATTATACACAATTATATTGGAATTATGAGGCAGCGATGACGACACATTGGTAAAATTTGAATAATTTCCTATCGCGAAAACTGATTACAATTATGCAATTCAAAAATTCCAGGACGAACAACTGCTCAAAAGTTAAAAATAATGCAAGAAAATACTTTGATCTAGATTTTCTCTTCGATTTTCAATTACGATTAAATTAATACTAACAATGGGTACTGTAATGCTTGTCAATTTTCTGTTTCACGTTCACTAACCACTTAGGTTAAATAACACTAAATGTTTTTCTTCCTTATCAGTTACTTAAGGTTATACGGTACTACTGATTTTCCAATAGACTTGGGCCGCAAAACATAGCCTCAGAGAACTCTATTGATTACGACAAATTTTTCACTGCATGTTCTTAAATCTGAACACCAGAAACATTATATCTATCTATCTTCCGTTAATGTCAAACCTCTCGCGGGGACGAAGACATGTCTGCGCGTCAAAAATCGCAAGAAAGTTAAAAAGAGGTTTTTTTTAGAAGAGGATAAAAGAATTTTTAAAAATGTTAAAAAACAGAGCCTGGAAAACTTGGGTGAGACATGTGCGTTGCAAGCTATGGCTGCACTGAACTGCTCTGGGGTAGGGAGTAGGGAGTAGGGCAACTGCAGGGGTTAGGTGGTTCCAGTGGTTTATACATGTACCGTCCTAGCTAGGAAAGAATGAGAATTTATAATAGTCTGAAGTTGCTGTGAATAACCTATAACATAAGGGATGGCCATGGCGTGATATTCGGGCGGGACAGGGGTGTCAAATATTCTTCTATAGGGATAGCAACAAGACCATGGTGAATCTTATAGAGAAGGGATAACCTAGCATCTATACGTCTGAGTTCCAGTTTTCGAAGGTAAAGGGAGTGCAACATATAATACAATATATTACAAAAAGAATACATGAATCAAACTCAGGTGCAATAAGTGTTATATATATTCAAGAGGCTGTTGCCTCAACTTAAATGCATTATGAACAAAGTGAGCACATTTAAGAATAAACATTTGTTATTAGTGGACAATATAGTCGATTGTTTTGTACGGTAGGTCATAAAATGTTTCCAAAATATTTGGTTCTCATATCAGTATAAATTGGACAACATAAAATGCTATTCTGATTCGATAGAGTCATATATCCATGATTAACATTTGCAATAATTACTTTCAATGTTTAAAAATCTCAAAGTTTCTAATTGTTGATAAAATCTATTATCTATAGCTCATATACGAAGCTGTTTCTTGTAGTTATAATGCTTTAAGAATACTGGTATACATCTTGCCTAATGGGCGCATATTCAATATTGCTCACATTTATCTTGTTGTTTTTTATCACTGGGTACGCTTAATGCTCTAAAATCCAATATACTTTACTGTCGCCAACTAGGATTTTCAACTCCCATGTTTGTTGTAGAAACCAGTGTCCCAGAAGTCACAAAGGTTGAACAATTAGTGACTGGTATATGCATGTGGTCGTTAAAACTAAATGCCAAATGTCGCCAAAACATCCTGCAAATGACATAGTAACAAATTAGCTCATCAAAAATATATATTTGAATTTTTTTTCATGCGTTATTATACCAGCTTAAATATCTGTATAGTTGCAGACACAACAGAAGTATTTTTCATACCTTAAAATCCCTCTTAAAAATGCATTTCATTTTTTCCAGTGGTATAAAAAATGCAGCATACGTTACCGCGGTTGTATTATCAAGTATAATATAATCATTATGAGAAATTAATCATGTAAAAATGCCAATATATAGGTTGTGATGTACCTATTACTTTATTCTCTCTACTTAAAACATACAGTCAAACTCTAAATGTTACATTCATTCCGGTAATATACGTTACTGCCTTCGTTAAAAAGTTTGATTAAAAGTGAGATCTGGGTTTGAAAAGAATATACAAATCATTTCATGCTCATATTTTATGTGAGTCAGTATAATTCATTAGCTTTTGTCGAGTTTATACTTTGTTTCGTTATTCAAAGTTATACATATGTATACGTTACCATTGTCCAACTAACAAGGTATATAGCTTGAAAAATGTTATAGATAAGCATACAATTTTTGCCTTTACAACATTTGCATAATTTACTTTTGATCTAGGAATTAAATGATTAACTAAACACATTGATTTGAATTCTATGTTAGATTTCATGAAGAGAAAGTTGAAGGTTATCAAGAGAGGTTCTAAAGATGAACGTATTCATTCAGCCTGTTATAAAACGTATTTAATTAATGTGTCTGTTTTGAAAGAAAATATAACCGTTCTTAAAATTGAAAATATTTTTTTTCCTATGAATAATAAACTTTAATTAGATTTGCTCATCAAAAGATAAGATAAGATAAGTAAATTTTATTATAGTGACATTGTGTTATGTACATACATAATAACGATACATATTCATTTTTTACAACACCCGGCCACGTTGGGTCTACAAGTCACATAAATATTTAATCATTTTCAAAAATATACAATTTATAACATAATTTACATATTAACTAATTATATACATTCACAAAGAAATAGTGATTAAAATGTTCTCAATGAGCAGATATGATAAAAAGATCACAAATTAACATAAAAAAGCAACATACATTTTTTGTTTATATTTTCTGAGGATAAAAAGATTATATTGTATTTATGAAAAACAACACGTCTTTAACTTCTGAAACCTAAATTACTGAATTTTACAGGAAAACTTTCTTTTCAGTTGTTTCTCATTCTTTGATGAAAATGTATCTTAAAAACCATTACTTCGATGTTATTAAATAACAAAATGACGAAATCAAATTTTCAATTTTTGCCAACCTCAAATGTTTCAATTTATTGTAATCTAATTACAAATATACTTTCATTTAACGTATAAACATTGATTTAAATAATATATTACGAGTATTCTTTCAAGTAATATTTCGACCACTCGAAATGAAGCAGATTTCTTTGCCAAATTGTTACAGGTGCGTTACCCAGCAAACACCTGACGTTGACCCAACGTTTGATCAACGTTGAATTTTGGTCACGACGTCGGTGACCTTCATACAACGTCAAATCGACGTTGAATCCCCGACGTCTAACAGACGTTGCATTTTGACGTCGACTCGACGTCGGGTTTTGGTCGGTAATCTGACAATAGGTAAATTTAATTTATGAAACCAATATATATATAAATGAAAGCATAAACAGCGAGAATTTTAAGTTTAAGTTTAGAAAGGGAACATTATATATTTATTTTCTCCATCAAAACAACAGTATCACGTGGGTGGCTAACGTACGATATTCGATAGGTGGCGCTCTGTAAACGGATAGTCGCAGATCAGTATGAAATATTTGCTCTATTTTCGTTTAAATAATATTTTATCTCCTCGAATTAGTCTAAGAAGTGTTTATATAATTTACAATGAAGTTGTTATCATTTTTGAGGGCTTCATTTTATAGTGGTAAATAATTTAGTAAATTCGAATTTGCGACTTATCGGATTTGAAATTCAATTGTATTGGCGGACAAAAAACGACGGGTTGACAGACAAAGTTGTGTATTCCAAACAAAAGAAAAAGGTAGGCAAACATTATATATTGTTTTTCAATGCTAATTTACCGCATGTTTGCATGGATTCGATGGTTATTTGATCATTGAAATGTTTGACTGGTAAAACTTAATGTCACGTGATTACGCGAGATAAATATTTTTGTTTCCACGTAAGAACACTTTATCATTTGCTATAGAACAGTCTGTATAATCGGATCATTTTTCCCACACTATATCGCCATGCCAAATAAATGCACAATCAATGGTAGGAAATATCCTAGCAATTGAAATCAATAAAAAGTTAAATGCAGTACGTAAGACTCTTATTATTCAAATGCAGGTAAATAAAATTTCCTCTTATTTCTTATCAACATGAATTTCACTTATATGAGGGGCCAGTCATTTACACATGTATCAGATGCAGTTTGAGTTTGATATCTGTGTAGTTGTTAAACTACTCGTTGTTAATTGTAGTACTTTACCCATACTGTAAGCATACCATGTGTTTCTTATACATGTATTATGATAATGAGTCATGGCATTTGATACATGTATATGATACTACTTTTGTAAGATATATCTGAAAGCACATTGTATTTGACTAGCTATCTTTTTATTAATGTAATCAAACAACATATTATCAATCAGAAAACACATTATCATAGTTATAAATCAATAAAAGTAATAGTTTGTTAATTAGCCTGCTTATCAACAAGTTGTATGCTCGTATCATAAAACGTTTTTACACTAAGCCAGTCTGTCCTATATACACTTAGCAGACCAGATCATGCTGGGCAGAGATGATATCTATACAAATGACAGTAACATGTGAATTTCTTTGATGTTGTATGAGCATTTGTACAAAGTACTTTGAATATAAAAAATAACAATATCAATTTTTGCGGGAGTAGAATTAATTCGGTATTTGTTATATCAGTTTTTCATGCGCTTATGAATTAACTAAGATTAATAGTAATTTGATTTTGCCTATTGTATTAGACAAACATCCTTTCACCACATGGTTAAATTCTAAAACGATTATATTTCGTCTTTCAGATTGTGAAAATTATGATAATTCAACATGTGTCAAAAGTTCATGAGGAAGATGAAAATATTTAGAGGAAAAGAAAAATGAAAACCTACCAAGATTTTGTGACAGGTATATTTCAAAATATTATAGAAAATACAGTGATCTTATTACCCTTGATTTTATAATGAAATTCTTCACGAAGCCATTTTTATCAAAATTAATAGATATATACAGTAGGTAAACGAAACTACATGGTTTAAACTAAATTAAAAATAATAAGTGCATGTATCTTTTTAAGTAGTTGGAGAGTTTTGTTAGAATTTCGTTTAATTATAATATGTAAAAGTGATTAATTTCTTGCACTTGTAACTGATTATTTTATTTTTTTAATTTCAGAAAGTGTGATGAGATCTCAGGTTGGAGACGGTAATGATACGCTTAAAGTATGCCCCAGATCGACTTAGTGGAGGAGGACGAAAGAAGCTAGAATACTAATGAAGTTACATGAACATTGCTATTTATAGTTATAACAAAATATTCAGAATATTGTTCCATTTAACATTCAGATCTAGATTCAGTTATAAAATACAAAGACAAATATACATTTAGTGAGTTGGATAGATGATTGAAAAATCCCAAACTCAGAGTGATCAGTTCAGTGGTGATATAAGAAAAAACACATGCATGGATGTTTGCTATATAAAATGTCAGTGTTAATATTCAAGAAGGATTTTGTTTAACATG